CATCTCTCTGCCACTCAATTCAGAAAAAAAGCTGTCTAGATCAAAGGTGCCATCAGCAAAGTCAATAGATCACCCAATGAGTGGCAGCATGGAATGGCTTTAGCAGCAGAGCCCATGATGTGTTGACATGCGGAGGGCTGGGAGGCCAGCTGGCAAGCCCCAACTCGGACGTCTCCTTCCATCAGCCCGTGCTCCAACGTAAATCAGCGACCCGGACTTGAGAAGCCAGGGCACGCTATTAGCAGAGTGTACTGAGCACACAGAATAGGCATGAGGCTTGTGAAGTCATGCCATAGCTACAGATTTATTAATCATAAATCAGAACAAAGAAACATGTAGTCTCTCTCTCATGTCATCTCAGAGAGAACAGCAAAAGCAAAAGCTATACACAAATGGAAGTTCCCAGCATACTGTGCTAGAATGTAAACAGACATGCGACACACAACAATTCCACATGCCTGTTCCTTAAGGTGGAATGGAAATGTCAACAGGATGATTATCCAGCTTCAGCCAATCAACAAGTTGTTTTACCTGTCCATAATAATGTAATAAGAGCCCTGCTGGAGCAAGTCAAAGACTCATCTACTCCAGCATTCTGTTCTCACAATAGCAATCCAGGTGCCCATAGGAAGCCGAAAAGCAGGACATAAGCACACTATCATACCTTATACCCAAAAGTATATATACTTGTGAGATCTGCGAGTTTTCTGAAATACTAGGTTATGAAGCCATTGCATTTTCGTATTTGCTTCATCTAGTCACATTTTAGTCTAGATTGTTTCTCTTGCTCAGCAACTTATTGAGCAAATTACACCCCTTGCCTCCCCCCAAAAAACATGTTCTTAAGGTTCCTGCAGCCTTTTACCAAAGATTTGGAGGAGTGTAGGGGTGCACAGAGGAGAGGAGAGGAAGTCTTGATCCACAGGCAGAAGTCCTTGCAGTAACGGAATGACCGGATAGCTCCAGCGTGGTGCTGATAACACCAAGGGTGCATGTTCAATCCCTATATGGAACAGCTGCATATTCCTGCATTGCAGAGGGTTGGCCTTGATGATCCACAGAGTCCCTTCCAACTCTACAGTTCTATTATTCTATGAACCCAAAGATTGGATGGTTTAGTTGATATACCTGCATTGCAGGGGTTGGACTCAGGGTCCCTTCCAACTCTATAATTCTATAATTTACAGCTGCTGCCGGTGTCCTATGATATCCTAGTTTGTTATTTAGAGGTCTTAGGGAAATAATGTTTGCAACTCGGGGTAGCAAACTCAGATTATGGAGCAGGGGTGGGGATTGACCATCTATTTTCTTATGGTGGCTTTATGGGTAATCTCTCTCAAAAAAGTTTCCAATGGGACTTCAAAAGGCACTGGAGAAAGGCATTTAAAATTTCTCTAACTTACAAATATGCTGTATAGTTGTTGTTTTTATAAAAAAAGAAAATTAGACTTTTTACCTAGTTTAAGGACCAATGCCAACATGAGTGTGAAAAGAGGAATGAAGTGAAATACATCCAGTGTGAACTACCTCTAATTAACTGAATAAAACATAAAATGTGATCTTTTATCCAATACTGGCCTATGCCACAGTCTTTCCTTCACAACTTTTAAAATAATCAGTTTTAAAACTTCAGCAATGCTGCAAGTACACACACTGCTATGCCAACACAGAAAGAAAGAGAAAACTCCACTGCTCTGCAAAGTTGTATTTGAGATCCATTTATTCATATTATTAATGAAAGGTCAGCTGGAGTCAAACAAAACACAACAGTGCATATTTTTACCATTCTTGAGTGTTGCAATTTTCTCCTGCCACACTAGCAGGAATTCAGCTCTGTTAAAAGACCCTTGGCTTAGCTCTAATTCAGCTTGTTACAGAGTCTTTTAAATTAGTTCAATACTGATAAGAACAAAAGTTAAAAGCAAATCATCAGCTATTTCCTTAACAATCAAGCCTTTGGGGCACAGATTCTTCATGTCTAAATGGTTATTTCTTAATTTAAGGAGGCTCACTATGATTAAGAATAGACTAACTGTGGCTAACATCATCCTGGAGGAATTGAGCTATTGTTGGGATCTCCAGGTTACCTGCATATAAATTACTATACCATAATTTTAATAGAAAAAAGTTTGCTCATGATGGGGGAGACTGGGGTTGGGTTGCCTGAGTACCTGTTCAGTCTGCTGTCCAGGTGTTAGCTAGCTGCAGCTTCCAGACCAACATCAAAGGCAGTATCACATAGAGCACTTCTTCCATGCACCCAATCCCAATTCGGATTCCCCCTCCCAGCTGGTTTTTCTAATATGCAGTGTTAACGGTGATGAGGCATTTAAAATAATGAGCGGTTTGATCCTAAAAAGCTGGGATAACAAACCTTCAAAATTTTGTTTTTGCTTTTCTCTTAACTAAACTAGACTAGAGAAAGAGGGAGGCCCTGACCAAATTTGCCTCTGGTCCTACTCAGCGCCAGCATGCAGCCCCCTACAGATTACCTGTGAAGGGTATGCTGCCCTTAACAGTAAAAAGAGTCCCCATCACTAATCTAGACACACTTTCCTCCCCTCCATCCTTTTCTGCCCCTTGTCCCTCAATCCTTAAACTAGCCCTACTTTTTGCACTGTAACTTCAGGGCTGTGTTTGTTAGTATTCCCACCACCACCAAAATAAATAAACACATCCCCTGTTACTTATGAAAACCATGTTAGTGTTTGTACTGTGTTTGTTAGAAAATGCATTTTACAGTTGCACTGGGGAAAAGAAAACATATGTAATGTAACAGCTGCAATAACTCCAATCAAGGTCACAGAAATGCTGGATCATTGCCATGTTTACTGCCTTTAAGAGAGTGTGTGTGTGTGTGTGTGTGTGTGTGTGTCTTAGAACAGAGTGTGGGAGCTGGGGGTTGGCTGGTTGTCTTGCCATTGCTTTGTTGACTGAGAACATGGGAGTGTGAAGACTTCAAGGAGGCTCTGTCTGGAAGAGTTTATGAAGACAGGCAAGCTATGGAGTAATTTTTTATTTATGCATTATTTATGCATTTATGTGTGTGTTTTGGAGCAAGAAGACCAAACCCTCTCTTGGGCTCAAGGGAGATAAACAAATTGTATTGAATTCAATAAATATAAATAATACAGCTTGTTAAATTGTTGGCCATCCTGACAAGTAAAGATTCATCTTCAAGTCTTGTGTAAGGAGTCTACTTTAACACTAAGGTTTGAGGGTGAAACTGCTGCATCACGCTGAATGACTCAAAAAATATATAACATACCACACCATGTTGGGCTACTTGCCATTTGAGAAAAAAATGCCACTTGTCTGATGTTCAGCTGGGATGCAGAGTGTGCATCTAGCTGCATGTATTTTTACAGCTTCCCTACACTGCCATATAGATATATGAATCGTAATGTGAAAAACAGCCCTATGACAAAGACTAAAATCTGCAATTGTTCAATCAGAGGAGCAGAGAGTGTGGGATATTAAATTCCCCTTACACTTAAAAGCTAACCTAACCAATTCAAATTTTATGAAACAAAATGAGAAATGAAACAGCTTCATTGCTTGAAATGCACACTACATCTGGCTAGAGGAGCTGGCATGTGGCACTGCCACCAACTATCTGTGTCATGTGTTATGTGGTTTCCCCTCCTCTCACACCCTACCACCCCCCTAGCCCAGGATCATTGCAACAGGGTCCCATAATGTTCTCACCAACTGATCCCATCCCAGACACTTATCTGCACCCAAAAACACAAAACCCCAGGTTACAACTTAGCAATATTAGCTGCAACAAGCCTCAACTGGGTCCTGTGGCAGCCCAACAGGACCATTAATCAATACTGGGTTGTGGGAGTCTCTCCCACCAATGACAGATAAAGCCGCCGTCATTCTCAAGCAGACAGGTAAATGAAAATAAGTCCAGCAAAGCCTTCAGCTGAGATCTATGTAGTTTGACTCCTCAAACCCCAATAAAAGCGGCCATCTCTCTCCTGCCATCAGTGATGAGTTGGTGCATCTCAAGCATTCCCCAAGTTGGGAAAACGAGGGAGGTGGGGGAGAGATGAAGCAACAAGCAGAACAGGGCTGACTGTGCGAATGGTCAAAATGACATCCGATCATTTTCGCAATGACCCACCCCACTCCAGTATCTCTGATATACAAAGGTTAAAAATTACTTCTTGATACCCTGATGTTTCAATGCAAGCTAAGACCTATTCAGAATTATGAGATCAGGTTGAAACAGGTGCCATGATGAAAAGGGTACAGAGTTCTGGGGTTAAACAATCATTGCTCTCCAAATATCAATGTTAACACCTTTCTTTTTTTCTGATGTCGGCTTTAATGTCTTTGAGCTTCGCAGAATGAGTGTTTCCCACAGAAATAAATTGCACACCATCTCTATAGTGCAGGCGGTTAAAGTAATCACTCATCAGCCCAACTTCTCATCTGCAGCCAAGAACATTTGTATTAGCACTGATTAATCTGTGCTGGCATTAGCTGAAGTACAGAACCTCAGCCAAGATTACAGGAGGTCAAAACATTAAGCATATTTTTCTTTATATGCCACAGTATGCCTAACATTACAAAAAATAGACCTCGCTTTAATGCATGCAAGGAAGCATATTTCAATCAAGCCTAATTCCTCCTCGTTATTTTACTGTATTACCAAAACAGTAGGTCAGATCTTCGTGTGAAGATTAAATCTTGTACTTGCCTCCTTGGAGGAAATTGATTCATTTTAGCTAGCAAGTAACTTTTCCCCATCATCTTGGACTGTTTTACCCAACAATTTTTTCCTGAGACACACTTCGCACCATGCCCCTTCCCCACCTTCAGATACATAGTTGCATAAGACCCCCCCCCACTTCGTTCAGACGATATTCCTGAAAGGAACATAGGAAGCTCCCTTACACTGAGTCAACCCATTGTTCCATCTGGCTCAATATTGCCTGACCTGCAGCGGTTCTCTAGAACTTCAGACCGGGGTTCCTCCTAGTCCTACCAGGAGATGGCAAGGATTGAACCTGAGACCATCTTCATGCAGAGCAGATGCTGAACCACTGAGCTACGGTCCTTCCCTCCTCTAGAAAAGGTGACATGGGGGCCACCACATATGCTGGCCCTGCCCTCAACATCCCCTGCCCACTCCCAACCTTCCTGTGTTGAGTTGGAAGGTCTGAAGTGAGATTCTAAGCATGTTCAGTTAAAAGCTTATTAAAAGCTTGTTCAAAATCAAAATGTCTAATGACATACTGTTCAGACGTTTCTGTTCAACATGGGGAGGCAGAAGTGGAACATGTAGGGCTGGATATGTTGGGATTGGGGGGTGCCATGTACATCCGCGTGCTCCCTACTCATGTCTGCATTCCTGTTCAGGCATAAGACCTGAACAGGGCTACTCTGGGTGGGGTGAGCCTTTCGAGCTGGATAGAGAAGCTGTCCAGCGCCACCAGCAGTCAGAGGGTGTGCTGCAGGGCAGAATCAGCACTAAACTGGGAGATGCCTGCAGAAGCTTTTGCTTCAGCAGCTTCTAAGCAGCAACTGAGGATTTAAGAACTTGGCCTGGCTGCCCCACTCTCCCTGAAATACTAGTGGGGCTCTGATCCTGACTCCAACACAAGTTGCTTCATGTTGCCAAGTGAGTGCTTTCAGGACCAAACTTTGCTTTGTACTCACTGGCATCTCTATTCCCGATGATGACCCCATAGTGCTTGTAGGTTATCTGGTTCTTCAGGTTGGGTTGTTGTCCTGGGATATGATTTAAGGGGTCATTTTTAGGTGCCATGTCTTGCCCCTGGTCCTGGGTTCATGGTGGGTCCTCTGAATGTGCCTGACTTCAGTTGTGGGAGTTGGCAGGCCCTGATATTTAGTCCCCACAGTGGCATTTCACACAGCCATTGTATGCACACGGTACTTCTAATGCACAATTCTTAGAAAATCAGAAAGTTGGTGAAAATAAATTCCTACAATTTATTGAAAGAACTGAGAAAAAGTTCCCTTGAAAAGTAACTGTACAACATGAAATGCATTGAACTATTTCATAAAATAAAACTAATATTCTACAGCGTCTTTTGGATATTTGCCTCTTTTTTCTGTTGTGGATTAGAGCAGTTCCCTGTTTCCTGTTCATGTGAAAAACAGGCCATGTTTCGTCTATCATTCTCCACCTTCGACACAAGCCCATTAAATTCTATAGGAAAAGTAATATTACATCTTGCAGTGGAACTAATATCTATTAAGATATGGTTTTACACTTTCATTAATCACAGAGTCTCTCATTACAGAAAATGAGCCATTGCTAATATTACAAGCTAGAAAGCCTGGTGTGATATTGAACCAACCATGACATTTTCAGAATTCTGTAAAATATAATTGCTGTCTTTGTCCCTCTAAAATAATCAGAAATAGCCCTGACTTTTCTTCCAAGTAGTATTTTAGATACGCTAAATAGATTGGAACTATATCTAATGTGATATGCTAAGTTATGTTCATGGTGCCAGCCTAGTGGGTGTCTTTTTTTTTCTTAATTAAACCAGAACCAGAATTTTAAACAAATAATTCTGTTTTATACAGTAATATAGCAAAACTGTACTAGCACACTGTATACAATGATTTGGGCTACAAAATCTGTTTCAACATACCTTTACAATACTTGGCAATAGTCGGCAAATCTACCTTTAATATTTGATTAGCACGTGCACATTTATAACCCCAAAACTCCCTCAGAAAGAGCATTTTCAGTACATTGGATAGGGTTTAGCTGCATAAAAATCATTAATCACCATTGGAGCCATGCAGCTAATTCTCCATTCAAAATGCAATAAATGTAGCTTATGAGTAATAGCTACTATAATTTCATAGTGTAGTTGGGTAGGCTTTCAGTGTTCTGTTGAGGCTTAAGCCAAATGATTCCCACACATCACTATGAAAATAATATATGTGAGGTTATCCTCCCCAGTTCATTCTTTTAACCTCCAAAAACATATCAAAATAAAAAGCCATCACCTTTTTTGTTGTTGTTGCAGCTGAACGAAAAAGCAATTGTTGGATGCTATTTGGATATGCTTACTCAGATAGTGGCAAGTGCATCTTTTTAAATGAGGAACTTCCCCAGTCACATATAAACTGGTGGCATTGGAGGGTTTCGCCTTAAGAGAAAAGTGGGAGAGGGGGTGAGGGGTGCTAGACCCTCCCTCACACATAACTTATTATTTATTTATTTATTCATTTGAATATTTATAGGTCACCTTTTAGGGCATAGCTCTTGCAACAAAAATAAGATACTGACAATTGGAATTAAAGAGATAACCACTTCAATGCAAAATTCAAGCTCATCATGCACCCCATAACAACATAAAAACCGTATGTTGGCACTTGTTGTGAAATCTCATCTTAGAGTTTTATTTACAGATTTGGTCTGGTGGTGGGGAACTTGATCCAAAGAGATCCGGCAACAAACTTGGAAAGGGGCCTGGACAGGCCTCGATTTATCCCCGGGAGTGGACCCAAGCAATGGCTATTGGGCAATTTGGCCCACCCCCTGAGGACATCCTGTGCCTGATCCTGCCTACAATTGGTCAATCCACAGGCAGGCCGCAATCCCCACCAGTCGACATTCCCGGATGGCAGACAAGGTCGTGGCCAGGCCACAATGCCGCCTAACCGTCAAAGGTAAGCAGACTTGTAAAAATACCACAAAAGGTGAAAATCTAGGTTTGCCTCATGTCTTTGCACTGAAAATGTTATACTCCAGGAGAGGCTGTTTTTCTGTGACAAGTCTTTGGGACAAGTTGATTTATCAAGCCCATCAGTTTACAATTGGGCTGTAATTCTTTGGAAGCCCTCACCAAATATGACTGGGAGTATACATTTTGATAACATTAGTAACAGCAACAAAAATAAGATGTGGCACAAACTGTGGCCCTATCCTGGGAGAATGAAAGAAATCACTCTTCTGGACAGGAAGGTGACAAGTGTGTTTTATCAAACTTAATTGAATTCAAGTTACAATTATTAACAGCAAAACAAAAATTTTTCACTGCTGGCAATAAAAATGCAGCATGGTTACAAGCTCAGGTAAACCTAGGGAGGAAGGGAAGAAGGACCAATTGCTCTAGAAATGGGATTGCTCCAGGTAAAGGTAAAATAGACAGGTTTGCATGATTTTTTTTTAAGAGAGGAAGTAATCACTGCATGCAATTTTCTCCTTGTAAATATAGGGTTGTGGGGTTGGTTGGTTGGCTGGTTTTTTAGTTATTTCAAACATTTCTACCCTGCACCTTCTATTATTTAAGAAGGTTTACAGACACCCAGAGAAGTAGGGCTGGCCTAGTATATTTTGCTGCATTACGTATAACAGCAGAAATACAACACCATCCCCCAGTTGGTGCTCTCCTAGCAGTCATGATACATAGGAGCCAAGATCAGGAATGTTCTTTGGTGACAAAAGCACTTTCCCCCCCTCTGGCAGTAAAAATAAGGTAAAAGACCCCTGATTATTAGGTCCAGTCGTGACCGACTCTGGGGTTGCGCGCTCATCTCGCTTTATTGGCCGAGGGAGCCGGGGTACAGCTTCCTGTGGCCAGCATGACTAAGCCGCTTCTGGCAAACCAGAGCAGTACACAGAAACGCCGTTTACCTTCCCACCTATTTATCTACTTGCACTTTGACATGCTTTCGAATAGCTAGGTTGGCAGGCGCAGGGACCGAGCAATGGGAGCTCACCCCGTCGCGGGGATTCGAACTGCCAACCTTCTGATTGGCAAGTCCTAGGCCCTGTGGTTTAACCCACAGCGCCACCCGCGTCCCATCTGGCAGTAAAAGAATGTGCTATCTAGTCCATGACACCAAAGATCTGCTACCTGAAGCAGCCACCTTGCTCTGCCAAATGGTAGAGCCAACCCTACTGAAAAGATGTAAAAATAACAGAAACAATCTATTGTACCAACTACAAAGGATGTTCAACTATTGATTTATAAATCACACTTGGAGTTAAATAGATACAATTGCCACTTCTACATGATGACTCATTACTGGTTCAATTTAAAGGCAATGCAGGTAGCACTTATTTCAGTAAGTCAGCAGATCATACCAGATTAGTTAGAATCTGAGACCTCCAGTTATAGGGCGGTATATAAATTCAATAAATGATGATGATGATGATGAATGACTGAATACCTATTGCTTGTTTAAGTCTGTATGTCTAAAAGCTGGTTCTTTAGCAGTAGCTCCTGTCAAAAAATAGCTATTGACAACAAAACATGCCTGGCTCCTTGTTATAAAAAAGCACATTAAGATTCAAAGAACTGTATCACTGAAGAGCAACAACAATAACAAAAACTGTAAACCACAACTACTGCTATACTGCCAGCATGAAAAATAGAACTTGGAACCTGGATTTGGATGAGTAAGATTCAGCTAAGAGTTCAAATTAATTGGGATGAAGTTGGGGGGGGGGGATCACATAGCAGTTTTTAACTATTTTATTTTCTTTCCAGAAAATATGAGTTGAAAGCTCATGTGAGACATCATGTGCATGTCTTTAGTTTGTGCCTTTCATCAGCTTGTTTTCCTTCCGGATGCCTTTGGAAATTGTGTGTTAGTTCCATCAGAATCACTTTGAATTAAACCCTCCTGTTACCCATTGCAAAACAGGCTAAAAAGCACCTGGCAATTTTCAAGAGGTTAAGTAGCTATGATCTGCAAGCTGCCCATGCCGCAGCCTGACGAGAAGATGCAATTTGACACAATGTCTAATCTGCTGTGACATTCAAGTTTTAAGTGACGTTCAAGGAGACGGAAGGGCTGGCGCTTGAACGTATCCCAATGTGCACTGGTATTCTGTCTGTTAACTTTCTAATGAAGCATGATTGAGTAAAGTAATGAAGAGTTTACAGAGAGCCCCAGGAAACCAATTTCCAATTTTGCGACCAGCAGGCTTTAAGCTTCACGGCAGCATTTGCTTATTTTGTCTAGAAGGGGACTAGGATACTAAATGCCATTTCTACTTTGTGAGTCAGACAGACTTTTCTAATCCCCACACACTTACTTTCTAATGAATGTCTCCTTCTCCTG